ACCAAAGAGTTTCCTTGGGACTTCTCCTTGAAGCTGAAGGACTTGTCTTGTGGAACAGGGCATCAGCCAGTTTGGATGTTGCTGGAATCTCCAGGTGGTTCTCCAGGGGTGAAAGCTGGGATTGTTCCTCCCGAGCATGACCACCTAAGGGCCCAGGATGGACCGGAAATGAAAGGCCTGGCACTTGCCACAGATTGGTTAGGAAGCGCTGCCCTCAGCATCCCAATCTGACCATATCCCGGGAAGAAACTTTGGGGGTTTCTTGGGAGAAGCTGCAGGCTCAGACTTGATGTGGGAAGTTGAGAACAGGCTCAACTTTGAGGATGCAGGCTCAAGGAAAGTTCAAGAATTCTGAGGGGACTTGGAATGAGGAAGGTTTGCAGGCATGGGAAGTTAGCAGGGAGCTTGGGGTCTGCGCTGGGAGGATGTGGGGATGGTTTGGGGTTAGGCTGGGAGAGCAGATGGCTCCTTGAGGTCCCCTGGGTGATGACACAAGGAAATACTAGGTTTCTGGGAAGGACAGAGGGGAGAGTGAGCTTACTCATGTGAGCCATTGGAGGTTTGGAGATGCATGATGGGGGGGCTGAGGAGAAATTTAGGGTTTTATTTGGAAGACGAGAAGGACGTTTGGATGGGTGTCGGGTACGGACTCAGTTTCAGGGTTTGCTGGAGGAAGCCACAGGGAAGCCCAGGGGAGAGGGGGTGTCTGGGTTACAGGAGGCTGAGGGGGGCCATGGGATTCGGTTGATGGGGATCCATGGACCCTGGGGTCCTTGCCAAAGGGGGTGTCCCAGTTTTATATCACAAAAAAGTGGCCCAGGCTCCATCAGCTCACAAGCATTCTGTGTGACGAGGAAGTTTTTTTTAGTATTTATTTTTATTTTTTTCCGAACTTAAAGTTTTTATTTTCTATTGGGGTATAACTGATTAACCATGGTGTTAATCGAAGGGACTCAGTCACACATATACAAGTATCCATTCTCCCTTAAACTCCCCTCCCATCCAGGCTGCAACATAACATGAGCAGAGTTCTCTGTGGTATATAGTAGATCCTTGTTGGTGACCCATTTTAAATATAGCAGCATGCACATGACCTTCCTGAAGTCCGTATCTGTCCCTTCCTCCCGATCCTTTCCCCGCTCTGGCAACCATAAGTTCGTTCTTGAAGTCCATGAGTCTTTCTGTTTTGTAAGTAAGGTTTTGTGAGTAAGTTCATTTATGTCATTACTCAGCCATTAAAAAGAATGAAATCATGCCATTTGCAGCTTGGCTTCCCAGGTGGCTCAGTGGGTGAAGAATCTGCCTGCCAATGCAGGAGGTAAAAAAAGAGATGTTGGTTCGATCTCTGGGTCAGGACGATCCCCTGGAGGAGCTCATGGCAACCCGCTCCAGGATTCTTGCCTGGGAAATCCCATGGACACAGGAGCCTGGCCAGGCTATACAGTTCATGGAGTCACAAAGAGTGAGACATAGCTGAAGCTGAGCATGCACGCCGCCACATGGATGGACCTCAGGGGTGTCACTTGGAGAGAAGTAAGTCAGACAGAGAAGGAGAATATCATATGACATCTCCTACATGTGGAATGTAAAAGGGAAGGAGAACGTTTGCAAACATCTCTCGACCTGTCCCCTGAAGGCTTGCTTCTTGGTGCCAAGACCTTCTCTGGCTCAGCTTCTCCGGCTCTGTCAGTGCCAAGGCAGCGTGCCCACTCTGAGGGGCTCGTGGGGGGTCTGAGCTCAGAGCCCCTGCCCCAGCTCTTGTCAGCCTCACTCCAGATGGTTTTTCTAGCCCACCCGGCCCCCACCACAGCAGTGATGGATGCCCGGCCTGCCCGGAGAGTGTCCCGGAGTCTCTGCCAGCTCCCCTCCCCTCCCCTTTGCCCTGATTCTACTCCTCAGGGTCCCACACGTCTTTTGGGGTTCAGCTGGAGCCCTGCTTGCTCGAGGAAGCTTTGTGTGACCTTGTCCTCCCCAGGTGATCATGGCGTTTCCCCTGCTCCCTCGCCTGCCCCTGGCCTGCCTGGCGCAGTTCTAACATGACCTTCCTGTGTGCACATGCCTGCCCAGCAGGGCCTGCACAGATCGAACACCCTGTCTTAGGTGCTTGAGTGTCTGAAGGCCTCTCTCTGAGTTGGGGGCCCACCCTTCACACACACCACCCATCCCGCCATGGTTCCCTGGTCCGGCCCAGGCTCACTCTGCAGACCTTACAGGGCAGCTCTCAGAAGAACAGCCCTGCACACGAACAAGTCACTGCCTTGGGTGGGCAACTGGGGCACAGGGCCCCTCCCCATGCTGCTCAACAAAGGCTGGTAGCATTCATCCACGGTGGGGGCTAATGGCTCCTTTCCTTGGGACTAGCCGTTTCCCTGTGTTTCCCACCATGCCTGACGCCCACTTTCTCCATCTGGCCCTCGTCTGGCCTGTCCCACGTGGCCGGCAGGTGAATAGCAAGATGTGGTGTCAGGGGACTTCCCTGGGAGTCCAGTGGCTAAGACTCTGCTCTCCCAATACAGGGGCCCGGGGTTCGATCCCTGGTCAGGGAACTAGATCCCCCATGCTAGAATTAAAGATTCTGCATGCTGCAACTTAAAGATTCTGCGTGCTGCAACTAAAGTTTCCACATGTCACAACTAAGATCTGGAGTAGCTGAATAAATAAATAAATATTAAAAAAAAAAAAAAGGCTGTGGTTTCAGACAACATGCCAAAGCTGAAATGGGGGTCGATGCTCCTAGGATCCCGTGAGAGGTGTGCTTCATGGATGGGGAAGGGGCTGACCCACACTTTCTGGAGGCAGAGAGCTGCTGACTGCTGATCGCTCCTGGGTTGACACTACTCAGCGCATGCCCTTCTGGGGGGCCTGCCGCCTGCCACTCTGTCCCTTGCCCAGCCTTTTCTGGAGCACCCCCCCCCCCAACACACACATAACCACATACCCACACCATTCTCCCCTCTTAGTAGCTGAGTTTCCCTTCTTTGATGGGAGTCCCAGTGCTCCTTCCTTGGGAGTCACGTGGGGTTCGGGGTGGCTCCCGCCTTCCGCCTTCCCCGGGCAGGGCTGAGTGGGCTCCCAGGCTGGTCCTCGCCACCGTAGGAAAGGGCTGCAGGATGAAAGGTGATCTATACATGTAAGGCGATGATTATTTATTTGACAGGGACAGCTGCCGGCAGCAGAGAATGTAATCTAGTAATCCTTTTGTGCGAGTCGGATTGGAGGCTCAGCACGCAGCCTCCAACAGCCAGAGGCCCTGCCCCCCGCCCCCCGCCCCTCCCTGCCCTGCTCTCCTGCATGGTTGTGGGCACTCCTGCACCCGCGTTCCCCGGAGTGCTCACGCGTGCGGCCAGCACACACACCAACACCCTCTTTCTTTTGTTTTTTGGGTCATTGTAAACATCTTACATAACCACAGTAGGAATCCAGATTGGTGTGCTGTCATTAACTCAACTAAAGAGTGTCTTTGAATTTTCCCACCAGCATCCTTTTTCTGTTCCCAGTCCCCACCTTGCATTTGATTGTCATGTCTCTTTTGAGGCCCCTTCAACCTGTGACCATGCCCTGGTGTTTCTTTGCCTTTTGTGGCCTTGATGGTCACTTTGTAGGAGGCTGGTGTTTCCTTGTGACTGGGGTGAGTTTGTGCGTTTTTGGCAAGGATACTGTAGGTGGGGTGCTGGGTTCCCAGTGCATTCAGCTGTGGGGCACACACATCAGTGTGTTTTTTTGGCTGCACTGGGTCTTTGTAGTAATTCATGGGCTCAGTTGCCCCTTGGCATGTGGGATCCTAGTTCCCTGACCAGGGATTGAACCTGAGCCCCTGCATTGGAAGGCTAATTCTTAACCACTGAACTGCCAGGGAAATCCCAGTCTTATTGCTGCTGATGTTAACCTTGGTGCTTAGAGAAGATGATGCTGTCCAGGTAGCTCTTCTGTGAAGTTACTCTTTTTCACTTGGTAATGAATAGACGTCTTGTGGGGAGGTGCATTGAGACTATACAAATATCCTGTTTATCCTCCAGCTTTTACTCACTAATTTTAGCACCCATCAGTGGTTCTTTCCTGCAGTTGTTATTATTGTGGTGTCTGCCTAATGTTCATTTCCTATTTCCCTCATTTCCACTATACTGGTTAATTGGAATTCTCTTGGAAAGAGCTGGCCCTTCTCTTTCCTTTCTTCCTTCCTTTATTTACTTGCTAACTTATTAAGTGGTCTTTTATTATTAGAATCACAGTATTTATTTTTTAAATTATACAATATGTAACAAATGCATGGATGTATGTTGTGTAATAAGGATCACGGATGTGTATTCTATCCTACAGCTTGTTTAGTCGCTCAGTCATGTCTGACTCTGTGACCCCGTGGACTGCAGCACTCCAGGCTTCCCTGTCCTTCATGATCTCCTAGAGTTCGCTCAAACCCATGTCCATCAAGTCAGTGATGCCATCCAACCATCTCAACCTCTGTCATCCCCTTCTCCTCCTGCCCTCACTCATTCCCAGCATCAGGGTCTTTTCCAATGAGTCAGTTCTTCGCATCAGGTGGCCAAAGTATTGGATCTTCAGCCTCAGCATCAGTCTTTCCAATGAATATTCAGGGTTGATTTCCTTCAGGATTGACTGGTTTGATCCCTTGTGGTCCAAGGGGCCATGGGATTGCCTTCTTTATATCCAGGGGTAAGGGCACCCCCATCTCAACACACCTCACTGAGTTGGGGGCTGGAGATTCCCACTGCTTATGGGGAAACTGAGTCCTGGGAAGAGAGAAGCATGCCAAACGCCTTTTGCCGATGGCATGTGCATAGCGAGGTCGGGAAGGGCCGGGACCAGGTGTCCTTGGCATCCCAGCCATCCTCTCAGCCAGGATCATCCTGTCCTGCTCTCTCCGCATGTTTGTGTCCAGATGGCTGTTGGGGGAGGCATGGCTGGCACCGGCCAAGGTGATGTATGACCACACGGGGCTCAGAACAGAGACGGCTCGGACATTAGGGGTGTCAGGCTGGGAGATGGGAAATTCAAGGCCTGGAGCCGGGGCCAGCATCACCTCCCCATGGTGCAGTGCTCTGAAGTCACCCGCGGTGGGCTTCATCCACACGGGTACACAGGAGGGGAGGCTTCTTGGCAGGCTGGAGAGACAGATGGGCTGCGGGCACCGGGCCTGGCCCCCCGGGCGAGCTGCAGGCCCTCGGGGCTTGGCGTGAGCTTCTGTGATCAAGCTCCTGCTGGTGCGGTCATGAGGACCTCTCTCCACTTAGAAACTGTGTGCCGGGCAGGACAGTTCCCTTGCTGGCCTCAGTCTCCTCGTCATAACTTGGGAACAGTGTACCGGATGACCCTTCTGGTCTTTGGGCCCTGACATTGCCCAGATTTATGATCTGCGGTCACTGGGAGAGTGGTGATTGGGTTGTGGCTGATGGCAAAGGGGCAGATGTGGCCCAGGATGGCAGAGCGTGGCTCTCCCCACCTGAGGTCTCGGAGCTGAGCTGGCTCTGCAGTCAGGAAGACTTCTTGGAGGAGGTGGCCTCTGAAAAGGCAGAAAAGAGGACTTTTCTGCAAATATACTCTCTGCACATTCTGTTTGTCATGTTGTCCACCTCTCTGTCTTTCCTACAGGTATTTTTTGAGAACTTGCTTCCTAGGTGGCACAGTGGTAAAGTATCCACCTGCCAAGGCAGGCAGTAAAAGAGATGCAGGTTTGATCCCTGGGTCAGGAAGATCCCCTGGAGGAGGAAATGGCAACCCACTCCAGTATTGCCTGGAAAATGCAATGGACAGAGAGCCTGGCGGGCTACAGTCCATAGGGTCGTAAAGAGTCAGACACAGCTGAGCGACTAAGCACGCGTGCACACACACACACACACATACACACACATCTGCAGTGCACCAGGTTCTGTGCTGTGAACAAGGTGAGTAAATTTCACTCAGGACCTGATGTCTAACAGAGAGGAAGGTAGACTTTAGACAAACCGTCACAGGATTAATTTATGACACTTGGAATAATCTCGGATGCCTGCTTCTCTTCACGACTTTACTTCCCTGCCCCCTCCACTGTCTCCTTGCCCCTTCCTTATCCCACTGTTTGGCTCTCTTCATCTCTTGAAAGCCAGGGCCTTCCCAAGGATCTGGGCTCTCTTGGGCCAGAAACTCAAGAAGCCCTGGGTCTTGACCTTCCTGCTTGTGTGTTTGTGGCTTTCCTGGGAGAGGAGAGTGGCAGGGTCCCTCTTCCTGCACTGTGGTCTAGACTCTGTAGCCTCTGAGGGGTAATAGGCCCTAAGCTTTGGAGTCAGACATTCTGGGTTTGTGTTCACACTGTGATCCTTAACAAACCCACATGAGTCACTCACCTTCTCTGAGCCTGAGCGTCCTAAAACCATCTGGAAGATGGGTTTACTTGTGCTTACCTTGCAGCAGTTTTGGGGGATCAAGTGGGAAAATGCAAGTGAAAGTAACTACCTTGGTGGTACCTTGAATATTGTCATTGTTCAGTTGCTAAGTTGTGCCTGACTCTTTGCAACCCCATGAACTACAGCATGCCAGGCTTTCCTGTCCTTCACCATCTCCTGGAGTTTGCTCAAACTTATGTCTGTCGGGGACGGCATCCCATCATCTCACCCTCTGTTGTCCCCTTCTCCTCCTGCCCTCAATGTTTCCCAGCATCAGGGTCTTTTCAAATGAGTTGGCTCTTCGCATCCAGTGGCCACAGTATTGGGACTTCAGCTTTAGCATCAGTCCTTCCAATGAATATTCAGGACTGATTCCTTTAGGATTTACTGGTTTGATCTCCTCACAGTCCAGGGGACTCTCAAGAGTCTTTTCTAACACCACAGTTCAAAAGCATCAGTTCTTTGGCACTCAGCCTTCTTTATGGTCCAACTCTCATGTCCATTCATGACTACTGGAAAAACAATAGCTTTGAGTAGATGGACCTTTGTCGGTAAAGTGATGTCTCTGCTTTTTGATACACTGTCTAGATGTGTCATAGCTTTTCTTCCCAAAGCTGTAGTCAATGTCCGCAGTAATTTTAGAGCCGCACCCCCCCCCCCCAAATATAGTAGGAGCTTGATTGCAAGTAGCTTTTGCCCCTTCCTTCCCCTCCATCTGGGTTTGCAGCCAGGTATTTTTGAGTCTGGGATGGAAGCGGAGGAGCCTGGCTCTGTGCAGGACATCCTTCAGCAGAAGCTGGGCAGCAGGAGGATGGCAGGAGGGTGCCTCTGCTCTGGGGCAAAGTGCAGACCTCGCGTGAGGCAGGCCAGGAGTGCTCCAGGGGCCGGAGAGAATGGCAGGCGCCCCAGGCATCCTGGAAATGAAGTGTGTGTGACAGCTGCCCGCTGCTCACTGCCAGGTGCTGGGGCCAGGGAGACCCTTGCCGAGCTGGTGGGTCTGCTGCAGCCCCTCATCCTGGCGGTGTCTCCCCTGAAGCAGTGGAAAGCGGCCCCTCCCCATCTAGGTTTGCCCTCCCTCTCGCTCCCCGCTTCCTCCGCATTCCTTCTGAGCAGCCTGGTCCCGTTCAGCCCGGGAGGACGGAGCGTCTACTCGACCAGAGCTTCAGAGTCAGAGACGTTCTCACTCGCCCCACCCAGGGCACAGTCACTGGTTCCGCATGGCCTCTGAGCATTTGAGGTGTGGCTGGTGCACCCGAGGGACTGAATTTTCTCTTTTTTTCAGCCTTAACTAGTCGAAATTTAAATTCAAGTGGCCGTGTGTTGTTCGTGGCTGCCACATTGGACAGGACGGTTCTACATCAACAGTCCTCTTGCAGTGTTACCACCCCTGGGGGGGTCCCCTTTAGTGTGAGATGTGCTGAGTGGGTGATATGCCCTTGGTGAGGTGTTGCTGAGCTGTGTGGAGGGCTTACATAGGTGTGGGGAGCATAGCTTGGCATGGAAAGTGTGGCCCTTGGGGGTCTGATCTGGGCACATTTGGAGATTGAGTTAGGGTCTGCAGATGGGGTGGGAAGGGAGAAGTCTGAAGGACTGCGTTTATCTGGGAGACGCAGCAGAACTAGGGGCGGTGTTCTGAGCGGGTCTCTTAGAGGAAAGGGGTGAAGGGGCTATATCCCAGGGTTATTGGCCAAAGGGCTGAAAGGGTTTCATAGGAGCTGGAGGAGACCCACAGACCATTGAGTCTAGCTCACTCCTCTTACTGATGAGGAAGCAGAGGCCCAGCACATATTGGGTGCCTGTTACAGACCACAGTGTGGTTCCTCTCCATCCAGAGTGGAAGTGTTAGTTGCTCTGTCATGTCCCTCCCTTTGTGAGCCCATGGACTGGAGCCCGCCAGGCTCCTCTGTCCATGGGGATTCTCCAGGTAAGAACACTGGAGTGGGTTGCATCCCCTTCTCTAGGGGATCTTCCCGACCCAGGAATTGAACCCAGGTCTCCTGCATTTCAGGCAGATTCTTTACCATCTGAGCCACCAGGGAAGCCGTCTAAGTAAGGGCCACCCTACAAAGTAGAGAGTGTCATCCTCATTGTGCAGACAAGGCGACGAGAAATCAAAGTCACAAAGGTTTTTCGTGGAACCAAGAGTGGTCCCAAGTTTGTCAAGAGTCTCAAGCTTAATTTATGACAGAACCACTGGCCGCTGACCATCAGGCCAGCCCTCCACACCACAGGTCATTGTGTGGCCCTTCCTCCTGCTGGGTGGGGTCAGGACCCGGGCATTTACCTGCAGTACCAGGTATAACCAGTCCGGTCCCACGCGGGTGGAGGATGTGGTCTGTTTGCAGGGAACACGGCCGGGCAGTGTGGGGCTGCCTGCTCCAGGGCCGGGATATGCGACCGCTGCTGAGTAACCTTGCTCTGGGGGGATCACTCGCCCACCTGGATGACCAGGAGGGCAGGGCGCGAGGTGGGAGGGGGCTCCTGGAGGAGGCTCCTTGTCTCTCCTTTCTCCCCACCTCTGGCTGGACTCTGCCCAGGCAGGGGGCGGGCCCTCCCTCTGTCCAGCTGTTGTCCCCCGCTTCTCACTGCTGCAGCTGTCTCAGCTCCATCAATCTCATCCAGGGCTGGGAGGAAGGAGGGGGCCCGGGGAAGAGGGGGCCTCTTGGGTGTGTCCGGCCGAGGCTCCTCTGGCCCCTGCCTCTGAGCAGAGTCTCCAGCTGCCGAGGGAGGGGGCTGGAGTGCTGTGAGCTACCCCTCCACCCCAGGGCTCCTGGGTAAATTGTGGGCTGTGGGCGGCTCCAGCTTTCATCCCCCCAAGCAGGGCCACTCTTTTACTGAAAAGAATAGGGATGAATTCTTTCTTCACCTCCACCGGGAATCTCCTGCTGCATGTGGTACTTCTAACTTTACTGTCATTTTCATGAATAAATCAGGGAATGATCCCACCACCTTCAGGATGGGGAGGTGGGTTCAGGCTGGAGATGAAGGGGACAGGTCTTCCTTCTGGCCTGATGGTTTGATGTGGCGGGACTCTGGGGGATGTGAGCTGTCAAGAAACAAGTGAGCTTCGTCCTCCAGTCTGGGCAGGAGGCAGACAGGTATCATTCCTGGCATCAGCCTCTCCTGCAGTCAAACATGTGCCTGGCCTCATTCTCTCTTTCTCAGGAAGTTTAGCTGAATCTCCAATACCTTAATACAGGCTCTAGTACCCTGCATTCTTCAGGTGCTAAAGGCAGGGGGTGAAAAGCGGAGTTAGCCCTCTTTATTGGGCAGACCTGTTTTCCAACCTACAAACTGGAGAGAGGCACTGCTACCCTGGTTCATTCCGACAGGTAGCAAACAGCATCTTGGCATAGAAAGTTGACTTGAGCTCTTTGGAAAATAGCTCTAGGAAAGAGTCACTTATTTTTGTTTTGATTTCTTAGCCTCATCCGGTCCTAGCTCAGGACCAAATGGGAGTCAGCCAAGTAACGTACATCCGTGATTTCAGACCTGGCGTTGAGCTGGAGACATCTGGGAGCCCTTGAATAATTCAGACTCCTGGGCCCCTCCACCCCACCCAGAGCATCTGAGTCTCACACTGTGTCAGTGGGGCCGGAATCTGTATTTTGACAAGCTTTCCAGATGATTTCAATGCAAAGTGAGGTTTGGGACGGTCCAGGTCTTCCGCCTTTTGGGGGGGAAGTCTGGCAAACAGATATTCCCAGTGCTTCTTTCCGAAGCGGGCGGGCCCGACTCCCAGGAGACTTCTTCACGTGTCAGTTCATGGATTCGTCCACTTGGCCCGCTGACACTGACCCAGTGTCTGCAGCGTGCTGGAGGCGGCTCCGGGCAGAGGGGTGCAGGGAGAATGGAGCCCCTTCTGTCTGATCGGGTTCTTGGCCAGAATTAGGGGCTTACCCACTCTTCCTACACCTATTGAACAAAAAAGAACCTCAGTTGCCCCTGCTCTGAGGCCCGCAGAGACCAAGGGGCTTGACTGAGGCCACCAGGGCAAGCTGGCTTATGTGGTGGTTGTTGAGAGCGGGGTCTGCAGGGGGCTGGGCTTCCTTTAGGAAAAACTGCACCTTGTAGCCCCTGGCGGGGTGTGGTCTCTCTGCACCCTCGAGGTGTGTGTAGATGATGCACTGGGCCTGGTTCCAGCCACGTGCCGTGGGTCCATGTCCAGGACTCCAGGTTCTTGCCTGCAGTGCAGGAATGATGTGCCCGCTTACTACAGGCTCTTAGCGGGGACTGTGTGCATGGTCCACACTAGGGGCTCAGGAGATGCTCGAATTTCTTCTCCACCATTTTATTTGGTCTCTGGAGCGAGAACAGCATTGTTTTTTGGCCTTAGTTTTCTGAACGCTGCTTCCAGCGGCGGAGGGGCGGGGAGGGAGTGTGGTAGGGTGGTGGGGGGTGGTCTGGAGCGAATTCCCACCGCAGGGCTGGGTTTCAGGGTGCCAAGTTCTGGCACTGCAGGGGGGTGCCTGCCGCCCCTTCCTCACCCTGGGCCTGGCCCTGCCTGGGGTGTCTAACCCCTCGTCCAGGCCTTTGAACCCAATCCTCCCCACACAGCCCCATGCAAATTGCTGGAGTGCTCCGTGCCTTGATTCTCAGGAAGGCACCCCCCGCCCCCCCACCGTCCAAGCCTTTGTCCTTCCGCTCACATTAAACTCTGTCAACATTTTTTCCCAATGAAGTCCTTCCTCCCCGAGCACGGCTCCAGTCTACAGCCGGCTTCTCTGGCCAGGGACACAGTTGGATCGCAGTTGCTAGTGCTTCCTGGAGCTTAGATCCCTGAGGAGCTATAAACGTTCGGGAGTGTTCCTGGCCCCTCTTTCCTCCTGGAGGCCCAGGGCTGGCGTTACCTGTGTCCCTGGGGTCCGCTGCCAGTTGGAGTTTCTGAAACAGATTTGCCAGATTCCCGCCGCTGGGCACCACCCCCCACAACTGCACATCACGGAGCCGGAGGACCGGGGAGGGGGGATTTGGGTAACGGCTGGGCTGCATTCCTCCCATTCTTTTCTCACAGGAAAAAGTGCCTGGAAATAACCCCATGGGGATTGCTTACAGGAGGGGCCCGCTTGCCACCCGCCTCTCCAGCCCGTCCCCACCTCCTCCCCTCCTGGCAGATGCCCCCAGCTGGGCAAGTTCCAGGGGCTGCCAGTGCCGCTCTGTGGGCCTGATGGCCAGACCGTGTGGCCACCCTCTTCCCACCCTCCCTGGTAGGGAGCGTGGCCCCATCCCTGGGCACTTGCTCTGCCAACCCCAGGGGCTGGACCCAAAGGGGCGGCAGTGACTGAAATCTCCCTCCTCCCTCCCTCCCTCCCTTCTTTTTCCTTCCTTTCTTTTTTTTTTAAATAAAAAAGCCAGTGTCAGGAACTGAGAAATGAAAGCCCGACAATTGAAGTGAACTTTCAGTGCCTTTCCCTGCAAATGGGATGCCCTGTGGATGCAGGCTGCATTGAGGAGTCTTTTCCTCCTCCAGCTCTTGGTCCCACAGGGAATTCAGAGCAGGAAATCGCTCCCCTGGGAGTCTGAGCCTTTGGCTGGTGCGGGTAAGGGAGTTTCTCTCTCTTCTGAGGCCCCGGCTCTCAGTCATGCTTAACCATCAGCAGTGGGGGGGGGTACCCCACCTGTCCCCCCCGTATCTGGCCACTACGGGGTCAGGTCTTCTGGTGTTCACAGGACTGGGGCCTCAGACCCGCCCTCACCTGGAGGCTCTCCATGGCATCTGGGTTGATGCTGTGCTGGGCCTGCCTTCTAGACGGCGCTTGGGTGCTTCCTCTGCTCTGAATTACCAGCCCCCTCCCTAGACCTGGCTCCTGAGTCTACAGTGATGGGCATGGTGAAATGTGTATTGGAAAGAAAAGAACGAGTGAGGGACAGGCCTGTCCGGAGGCCCCAGAACCTCTCTTTCCTGACGTGGCATCAGAAGACAGGCTCTGAACCCACCAATGGCAGAGCAGCAGAGGGTGGCCTCAAGGTGTCAGCTGGGCCAGAGGAGCTGAACTCCCCTTTACCTTGTAGAGTGGGGGCGGTGGGTACAGGGGGGCCTCCTTTGAAGACCCCAGCTTTTCACTCCTGGACCTGTATGTGACCCCCAGGGACCCCCGGGGAAAGGAGTCATGCCTGATCTCATCACTCTGTGGTTGCGCTGTACTCAACTCAATTTGGGATCAGGAGAGGGATGGGTATTAAAAAAATTACTTATTGCATAAATAATGCTGTGCAAAAAGAATACAA